TTTATGTTTCAAAACCCTCTCAAACTCAGAGCAAAAAAAAAAGTACTAAAATTATATAAATTGTTTCAGACTAAAAATCTCTTACTAAAAATCTAATGCTAAAAATCTGATTCTTAGCTATAACTCTCAACGAGTATATATAGTTTTCAGAAAACTATGCTGTAGCGGATCATTCGCGGACATTAGTCGGAATCACCGATCAACTCGGTGATTCGCCCTTTGGTGTAGTTCATCGTCGTCTTGCACCATCCTTCGGCATCGTCGTGCTCTGGGTCATTGGGCGACATAGTACTGCTTCGCGAAACTTCTCGGCGATGCGCCGACTTCTCCTCTTTTTCGCCGACTTGATCCTTTCCTTCAGGCTCAGAACACTAGAACAAAAGGCGATGTGAAACCCTTCGACGACTCGCCAAGTGAACTCGGCGATCCTCAGGCCTTCATTTTCTCGTTCTTTTCAGCCTTTTTGTTCCTTTTTGCCCCTAAGTGTCAATGCCTCCACTAAAACATCAAATACCAGAACCTTAAGTGTTTTCATCAGATATTGAGATAAAATAAGCATTTGAAGACACAATTTCTATTAAAATATAGCCCTAAATGAGTCCAATTTGTGGACTCATCAACACCCCGAACTTAAACTTTTGCTTATCCTCAAGTAAAACTCAAATTCAGCAGTTCAAATAGGATGTGTCAAATAGTGCTACACAAGACTAAGTCATGAACATACACAAGAAGATTGAAATTACTCATGCAAAGATCAATTGTGTACTCGAAGATTCAAGTTGTGACACAGCATTACCAAATATTCTCATGCTCGCAATACCTGCTACTTGTGTAAGTTTAAGCTTAACAAAAAGTATCTAAATGCACTCACATAAAGAATGATTCCATATTCACACACAAAGGTTAATTAATTCAAGATCAGGAATCAGATGCAACACTCACACTCAAAAAGAGGAACACAATGCATGTTTTCACCCATAGGATTGCCCTTATTTCCAATTGATCTTCGGTTCGGCTCACTCAAGATCAAAAAGGTCTTTCTAAGGTTTGTAATGGGGCTGAGTGCAAAGGTATGGTCATTTAGATTTAGTGACTTTTTCCTCATGAGATGTGGTATTCTCAAGGCATCCCCTTCTTTTCCTTTATCAATTCTTTTTCTAGTGCTTCTAAGTCATCTTTTTATTCACCTCCCTGGATTGCTTGGAAACCCAATTTCTTTTGTACTTTTATTCCACAATTTTTTTTGTGTGAAGGGTTTCCATTGTTCCGAAACACCATGGATTAAGGGCGACTTATCTTGGACTTCTTGACTTCTCCTTTTCCTTTTCACCATACCCCCAACTTATGCTTTTGACCTAAGTTGGCTATTAACTAAACCACAAATCTAGAGGATTATAGGTAGTAGGTCAAGTAAGGTCTAGGGTTCATCAAGGTTCTTCCAAAGAAAGGTAAGGCTCAAAGGGTGTTCAAGAGAGTTTCACACGCTCATGGGTAGGCCACAAAAGAGGTATATGTCAAATTTGGATCACACTCTTTAAAAGTTGCCTAAGATCATTCCAAGAGCACACCTTACTAAATCAATCAGACTAACTGGGAAAATTGTAGGTTTATTCAAGCAAGGTTCAAAGTAAGCTCATCATACAAGGCATTGACACTTAAGTCAAAAAAGACCACACACTTTCGCTAGTGTCCAACGGTCATTACAAGAGAATCAATTAGATAAATGGCTAATCACAACGAAATGAAAAGAGTTCACATATTGTCTATGCAACTTCATTTGGTTTCATCGCAGCCGCATGTTCATGTTTGTTCAATTGAGAGCACCATTCAGGTCATTGGTATTGATTGAAACCGAGACTTGAATTTGTACAAAAACAGCCACTTTCAATCACAAGAGGTGGCGATGATTTTCGAAAAATGAAAATTTTTCGGAAGGGTCAAAATTATTTTGGTAGTTTAAAACAAAAAGGAGTCATACGCTCAAACATCCACAAAAAGCAGAGTAAACAAAATTTTAAATGGAACAGCCTAAATATATATACAAAACATGAACCCAAATAGCACACAAAAGGTGAGCCTCACCTCACCACAAATAAAAGCAATTTGTCCCCAAATGCAATTAACACATAATATCCAGAATGTAAAATAAAGAAAGACAGAGAGGGAGGTAAACAGGGGATCTTGTCTAAATAGTCGCTCCATCTGTTTGGGCATCAGTGCCCGGATTGTTGTGAGTCTACTTCAGGCTCTCATTTTATTTTCTCTCTGATTCAGCTTCTGTAGCGATGTTTGCCTCAACCATGTTATCCAAATCATCTGCTGCTTTGAAGGAAAGTATCGCATTGACGAACCCTCGAGCCCATGAAGGGACAGCAGGGTCACTGTGAATCTTCCTACTGGAACTCGCTTCTGTGCTCTCGCTCTTGTCAGTTCTTCTGAACTGTTGTGCTCTTATGTGTCTGGGTGGCATGTTCCTTCTTGCAACTTTTGGTCTGGCCATGTTTGCAAAGTCTTTAAGATAATGTTAGAACATATTTGACAACCAAAACAAAGACTTTCCTTTGCAGATAGACTAGATAATCCGCTCGGCGTGCCGCCGAATACATTCGGCAAGCCATAGAAAATTTGCCGAAGGGCGAGTAAGGTATTATTCGGCGATTCGCCGAATTCACTTGGCGATCCCCTGCTCCTCGCCGAAAGTTACAGCAGCCACAACAAATGAAGCTTGATATTAAAGGAGAAATGGGGTATTTATGTGAACCGTGGAGTGGTTCGACGATCTCATCACAGCTCGCCGAATCACCTATCGTACTTACTTTTGACATAATATTTTTTTTTCAAAATCGGCCCCGCAACCTCTGAAAACACAATTTAAGCAAATACCACCCATCTCACACATTAACTCGACTAGATACATCGGAGAGCAAGATTTCACAGTTTAAGCGAGATTATGGAACAATCAACACTTATCCAGATCTATCCAATCAGGGATGGTCAGCAGATTATAATAATATCGAAGAGTGTGTAAATGAGTACAACGTTGGCGAAATAATTATGGGTATTAAAAAGCTAACCTTTTGTACCAATTGAAATACTACCGAGAAGCTATGCGGCAATGTAATCCAAATCTGCGCACAAATCAATGAACCAAAATACTCCAGAAGTGCAAGAAATATAAAACTACAGTGCATGTGTGGGTTTTGAACAAATAAAAAGTGACGGAAAGTGAATGAAGTTGGAAATTTTAAACCTTTGGCTCAAAAACCGTCTAGGTTTCGCCCACTCAGCGACATTAGCCAAGCTCGCCTTCTCACTCGGTGAAACGCCGACTGCTTAGTTTCTCCACCAAAATTTACAGAACCTTTGGTTTACGAGGGTCCAAAAGGCGGTTTCCATCGTGATCACTAACATTGTTGGCGATTCACCAATAATTTCCACAGCTCTCCAAGTTTTACAGACTCCAATGTTGACGATGTCTAGTGTCAAATAATGGATAAGATCAGATTCGGCGACTCGCCGACTGGATCCATCACTCGTCCATCTGCAGTTTTCGTTCACTCTCCATACTTCCATATGCACAATCAGCACACCATTATTTTATCAAAGCAAAAGAAAGCAATAAATGGTTTTGGGTTGCCTCTCAAACAACGCCTTAGTTAACGTCATAGCACGACGCAACAGTGCCTTCTAGCGTCTTCCAAATACACTACTTCAACCAAAGAAATCTCTTGACAGTCCCTGAAGTATAATTTCAAACGTTGACCATTTACTTTAAATGGAGGTCCTTTCTGATCTGCAACTTTTATGGCACCATTGGTGAACACTCGCGTTACTTTAAAAGTCCAGACCATTTGGATTTGAGCTTTTCGGGAAAGAGTCTAAGTCGAGAGTTGTATAACAAAACCTAATCTCCTACCTTGAAGTCCCGCTTGAGTATCTGAGCATCATGCCATTTCTTCATCTTTTCTTTGTTGATAGCTGAACTTTCATACGATCTGAGTCTAAATTCATCCAGTTCGTTCAACTGCTCTACCCTCTCCCTTGAAGTTATTGAACAGTCCAAATTTAAAGCTTTCAATGCCCACAATGCTTTGTGTTCTAGCTAGACGGGCAAATGACAAGCCTTACCATAAACCAACTGATATGGAGACATACCGATAGGTGTTTTGTAAGCGGTCCGATATTCCCATAATGCATCATCGAGTTTTCTGGACCAGTCAGTTCTGTTGGAATTTACTAACTTTGCCAGGATGATTTTGATTTCCCGATTTGACACTTCGACTTGGACACTTGTTTGGGGATGATATGGGGTTGCTACCTTATGTTTCACCCCATATTTGCTCAGTGCCATTGAAAACCACCTATTACAATAGTGAGACCCCCCATCGCTAATGATTTCCCTAGGAGTGCCAAATGTTGCGAAAATGTAGCGTTTCAAAAATTGGACAACACTTTTTCCTTTGTTGTTTGGAAGTGTGATGGCCTCTACCCATTTGGAGACATAATATACAACCACCATGATATATTTATTTCCAAATGAGCTCACAGATGGGCCCATGAAATCGATCCCCCATACATCGAATGGCTCGACTTCCAAAATAGGTGTGAGAGCCAACTCATGCCTTCTAGACACACCGCCTTGCTGCTGACATTGAGAGCATTTCTTTGCAAATTCATGTGCATCGTTATGTAAGGACGGCTAGTAATAACCACTTTGGAGGACTTTAGCGGCAGTGCGAACACCACTATGGTGACCTCTTACTAGAGATGCATGGCAAGCATGGAGAATGCCTATTGCTTATTCTTCTGGAACACACCTCCTAATAACATGGTCAACACATTCTCGGAGCAAGTATAGTTCATCACAAAAGTAATTTTTTAACATCGAACATGAATCTCTTTTCTCGGTAAAAGGTCAGCTTCTCCGGAATCAATCCACTCACATTGTAATTTGCAAAATCTGCAAACCACGAGGTAGGTTTGAGAGATATAGCTAACACCTATTCGTCGGGTAATGTGTCGTCTATGTCGACCTCATGCCCGGCATCTTCCCTTCCTTCCAACCTTGACAAGTGGTTGGCCACTTGGTTTTTGGACCCTTTTCTATCTTTAACATCAAAATCGAATTCTTGTAATAGTAGCATCCACCTTATCAATCTTGGTTTTACATTTTTCTTCGCCATTAAGTAGCGGAATGCAGCATGATGAGTGTGTACTATTACTTTGGTGCCTAGCAGGTATGCCCGGAACTTTTCAAATGCGTAGACCACTACGAGCAACTCTTGTTCAGTGACTGTATAATTTCGCAGGGCACTATTCAGAGTCTTGCTTGCGTAATAAATTGGGTGAAATAGTTTGTTGAGCTTTTTCCCCAACACTACGCCCAATGCCATACCAATAGCATCATACATTACTTCGAAAGATTCAGACCAATCAGGACTGAAGATAATTGGAGTGGATACTAATTTTTCTTTCAAACCCTTAAATGCGGCCATACAAGCATCATCAAAATAAAACTTCACTTCCTTTTTCTAGGAGTTTGCATAGTGGATGTGCAATTTTTGAGAAGTCTTTAATGAACCTTAAATAGAAACCCGCATGACCCAAGAAGCTGCGAACACCCTTCACTGAAACTGGCGGGGGTAATTTTTCAATGACCTCATTTTTCGCCTTGTCAACCTCAAGCCCCTTTTGTGATACCTTGTGCCCAAGAATGATACCTTCCTTCACCATAAAGTGACATTTTTTCAATTAAGAACTAGATTCGTATCGGCACTTCTTCGGAGGACTTGTACTAAGTGTGCACGCATTCCTCAAACGTGTCCCCTACGAATGATAAGTCGTCCATGAATACCTCCATAGAGTCTTCAACCATATCCGCAAAAATAGACAACATGCAACACTGGAATATTGCTGGGGCGTTACAGAACCCGAATGGCATCCTTTTGAATGCAATTGTTCCATAAGCGCAGGTAAAAATGGTTTTCTCTTGGTATTTCAGTGCAACAGAGATTTGATTGTAACCGGAATACCCATCTAAAAAGCAATACCACCTCGTTTCTAATAACCGGTCAAGCATCTGGTCCATAAAGGGCATTTGAAAGTGGTTCTTTTTGGTCCATGAGTTAAGCTTTTGATAATCCATGCATACTCTCCACCCAGTTACTGGTCTTGTCAACACAAGTTCTCCTTTTGCATTTGGGACTATGGTTATACCTCATTTTTTTGGTACACATTGCACCCACTTACTATCTGCAATACGGTATATCACTCCCGTATCCAGCCACTTGATGATCTCCTTTTTCACAACCTCTTGCATTGGAGGGTTCAATCTCCGTTGATGCTCCACACTAGGTTTACATTCACTGTCAAGCCGAATCTTGTGAGTACAGACGCCAGGGGTAATTCCTACTATATCGGTTATTGTCCATCCAATAGCTTTTATATGCTTCTGCAATACTTCAATAAGCGGTTTCACCTGCCTTTCAACCAAATCGACTGTGATAATCACTGGTAAAGTATTATTGGCTCCTAAGAAAGAATATTTTAGATGAGAGGGTAGGGCTTTTAACTCTAGATTTAGAGGTTCTTCTGTTGATGGCTGTGCAGAAGGACTTTCTCTGTTTTTCAGGTCAATATCCAATTTGATTGGATTCCTTGAATACACTTCTAATCCTGATAAGGCAGCCACCACTTCCTCATATCCTTGAACTTTGGATTCATCATAACTGGCAAGTACAGATTCAAGGGGTTCATTTTTGCACATTAAATGGCTCACACTTGCCACTGCCTCAGCTATAACATCCTCAACGGAAACTACATGGATATTACTTTGTTGCTTCATGGATTTATAGATATTGAAGGTCACCTCATCATCGTTCACACGAAACTTCAATTTCCCGCTTTTGACATCCACCAATGCTCTCCCGGTAGCTAAGAATGGTCTTCCCAAAATAATGGTGATTTCAGCATCGATCTCGCAATCCAGAATCAAAAAATCAATCAGAAAGATGAAACGATCTACTTTTACCAATATCTCATGGAGTATCCCTATAGGGTGCTTGATTGATCGATCAACCATAAGGAGTCTCATTGTGGTTGCCTTTGGTTCACCTAAACCAAGTTGCTTGCATAGGGCATCAAGTTAATGCTTACTCCAAAATCGCACAAAGCTTTAGCGAATTGAAGCATGCCAATTGTGCACGGGATTGTGAATGCCCCAGGATCTTCTCTCTTGGTGATTGACTCATTTTTCATAATTGCGCTGCAACTTTGGGGTACCTCGATCGTTTCATACACCAAGTTCCTTTTCTTTGTAACCAGCTCTTTCATGAATTTGGCGTATCTCGGCATTTCTAACCATGCCTCCACCAGAGAAAGATTAATTGATAAGTTCTTGAATACTGACAATTTCTTTTGAACTTCTCATATTTATTCTTCTTTTCCAAACGTTGTGGAAATGGTGGAGGTATTTTGGGTAAAGGGTGCGTGACTTTTGGAACTTGATCATGTTGCTCTGCATCCTCTTGTGGTTCTTTGGCAAGATTTTGTGGAATAGGCAATTCTCTTTACTCTATACCTGTAACACTCCAAAAATCTAACGACCTAAGCTAGAGCCTAAATGATGACTAATGACTTAATGAGAGTAGAAATGATGTTTCAAGACTTAATATAATGTAACAAAATTGGTAAGAAAGTGTTAGTTCTAAAATGCCAAGAAACAACCACGACGTTCGGAAACTAATGCATTGAACTAGTGAGGTGCTAGGTATTGTGACTTGACTATAGAGTATAGTAGGTGGACTAAAGTTTGAAAAAGGGTTTTAAAATGTAAGATTTCATGTTTAGGGTTTAAACGTCCGGGTACGACTCCCCAAGGATCACCCAAGGGGTCCTGGAAGAGGACCCAAACTTGGAACCAAAAAGAAAGAAGAAGTTGTCCAAAACAGGTTGGACTCCCGAGAGGAAAACAACGAGACGTAGGTTGAATCACTCCCCGTGGAAGGGAGTCGTGAGTCCACACTTAGAATCCTCCAAGTGGCCTCCAAATCAACCCCCTCAATCCCTAACCACGAGCATGCAGTACGGTCCGTAGATCGACTCACGGTAAGTGGAAGGGTGTCGTGAGTTGAGACTTAGTCTCCTCACCAAGACCCTTGTCTGCACCCTCTCAGTACCAAACCACGAGTGGCCAACATGGCCCGTGGTTCAATCCACTCCCTATGGGTGGGGACTTGTGGATGGCACTCAAGCTCACTGCCTCCACACGGTTTAAGTGAGGGTAGTTTAGTAATTTACTAATTAATTGCTTAACGGTTAAAAATGGTTATAAATAGTTATTTTAGGTACTTTAGGATATTATTAAGTAATAACAAGTCTTCCACCTTATAACTCCAAATCACAAAAATCAAAACCCACTTCTCTCTAAAACTCTCTCTCTAAAGACTCTAGAATAAGAAGATTAAATTGGAGCTAGGGTTTCAAGGTTTCTTCCCAAATTTCTTGGAGTTTCTCCATTAATTCTCAAGGAATCAACTAAGGTATGGTTGCTCTTCACTCTTGGGATGTTATCCCCAAGAGACCCTCTCAAAATAATTGGATTACAAAGTTTCCCAAATTCTAGGTTTTTACTCAATTTCGCGGGTCACTTTCCAAATGTGTTTTCTTTTATAATGATTAATTATGGTTGTGTATTACGGTTTGTGGATGAATTAATGTAGTGTTGTTGGTTTTTGAACAAATCCCCACAAGACCCATGAATTTCCTTTATATCTTACTTTAAACCATAGTATGACTTTAATGGTGAATGAAGGATGAGAATCTTATATGTAATTGTGGAATTCATTATGGTATTATGATGTTGCTCTATATGACGAATTATTACCATTGAATTAGGGTTGAATCTTTATGCGATCCTTGAAGGCCATGACGGAATATTGTTGAATTGATGAATGCTTATATATTGAATTGTTGATCCACTTATGGTGGAGGTGCTACTTGATTATGAATTATAATGATTGAGTTATGTTTCCTCTTCCCTACAACCCCAAATTGTTGACAAGTATGCTATGATATGAACATGAGTGTTAAGCTATGATTATGGTAGTGTTGGTATGATGAATATAAGGTAAATCTCATGAACACTATATGACTATGCTACGAATGAACATTGTTATAGGTTGATGGTCCTATGATGAAAGGTTATTCTTATCTTCGAACTTATGAGCTATATGATGAATGATGGGTTAAATCCCTAATGTATTTCTTATTGAATTAATGTGTAAGTAAAGGCCTATTATACTTTAAAAGGGAATTGTGCTTAGCACCGAGTGAACATGAATATGAGATGAAAGCTTTTACGTTTAGCAAGTCTGGTTTCCCATATAGGTTCCTTTTACGTTTAGCAAGTCCGGGTTCCCAAAATTTATATGTTGTCTCATGAGATGGAAACCTTCTACGTTTAGCAAGTCCGAGGTTCTAGTAGCAATCTCCTTGTTCTTAACTATGTTTGCCCACATAGGTATTAGCTAGTGGATCCACCTAGATGCTATTATGTTAGTTCTACCTTGGCAAGTGGAACACTCTCTTTTAAGTGTGGGAGTAGAACACCAGATTTCATGAAGCTCACTTGGTCTATGTCGGTTATTGCTAATATCCCTATGTTTTAAGAAGATGATCTAATGTATGAATACAACTTATGTAAATGACCTATGAACTCTAACTAGGACTAGTTGAGGGATATTACTTAGTATATGAGAGGGTATGGGACTTTACCTATGCATTGCACAAGTGGGTTCTGTGCGGAGTTCTTGTGTGAGTCCTTCATATATGGTAAGGTATGAATTATGTTAAGGTTCGTTTCACCTATTATGATGTTTATTATGTATGTGACTATACTTGTGTCTTCTTGATAGCTTTACTTAGTATACAAGAGGGTATGGGACTTCATATGTACATTGCACAAGTGAACTTGAAAGGGGGTCATGGGTGGTGTCTTATGATGGTGTAATGTAAATGGAGCTCAAATATGTAAGGCATAGGTTATGGCTTTTTGTTATGATCATGAATGTCTTTTACCTTGTAATGTGGATTAGCTAAATGTTCCTTGATTATGCATTATGGCTTCTAACTTGGAATAGTATGTGTTCAACTAAAGGTCCCTTTTTGCATGATTTAAATGGTTTTAATTGCATGGCTTCCATACTTAGTACAATTGATTGTGCTAACCCATATTTTTTTCTTTTTCTACTAAGTGTAGGTTCCGGGAAGTGATTGTGCTACTAAGAGACTCAAGCTTGGATTTAGACTTTCTCCAAGACATTTTGGTATGTCTTCAAATTCTAGGGAGACACACACTATGACACTTATGTTCCTTATATTGTAATAGACTATTAGACTTCCTATGTACTTGTCATCTTGAGACAATTCTATTATAAAGGGCTGTGGTCCCTATTCGAGATTCTTATGTGTACTTAGATGGTTCCATTGAGATGATGATATCTAGACATTCTACTTTCTATTTTCTATTATGAGACACTTTGACATTGATGTTGGAAAGCTTTTAAAATTCTGCATTATTCAATGTCTATATGCAATGACGAATAAGCTAAGGGCTTGTATAAGACCCCTTTGGGGTCAAGTACACCGTGTTACGCCTAGGGGGTGCTCTCGGGGCGTGACAAACTTGGTATCAGAGCATAAGGTTAATTGAATAATATTAGGGTTGATGTCTTATGAAACCACGTCGAGTAGAGTCTTGTTCATATGTGTGAAGCGCGCCACACTTATGAATGAGAGTCTATAAGATGCTTAGAAATTTTCACTTCTTGATTACTCATTGGTCGTGCCTTAAGAATCTTAGTTCTATTAAGTCTTTCCTCCTAATTCTTTTCTTGTGCTTATAGGCTATGAATACAAGAAGGAATAATGCTTGGAAGGCCGGAGAGGAAAATGTGAATGAGGATGTTCCCCCTCATGTTCTTCAAAATCCTGAAGCTCCTATTGATGAAAGGGCTATGTCTAATGTGGAGGTAAGGGCGGCTCTTCATACCTTGACTCAACTCATGACAACACAAGCTAACCGGGAAGCTAGACCCCGGGTGGAGACCAATGTGAGTACCATGGCCTCATGGTTGAGAGACTTTACTAGGATGAACCCTCCTATCTTCTTGGGTTCCAAGGTGAGTGAAGACCCACAAGAGTTCTTGGAGGTGGTTTATAAGATTGTGGAGGCTGTGGGAGTTTCTTCTAATGAGAAGGCCGAGTTGGCCGGGTATCAATTGAAAGACGTGGCCCAAGTATGGTACACTCAATAGATGGACAATAAGCCTTTAAGGGTAGGTCCCAAACTTGGGAGGTATTCAAGAAGGCTTTCTTTGATTGATTTTTCCCCCGTGAGAAAAGAGAAGCCAAAGTTGAGGAATTCATCAATCATCCCCAAGGAGGTATGAGTGTCCATGAATACTCCTTGAAATTCACGAAGTTGTCCAAATATGCTCCCTCTTTGGTTTCTAACCAAATAGATGAAATGAGTCATTTTGTCACCGGTGTGTCCGATGCTATTGAAGAAGAGTGCCGAGTGGCAATGCTCTAAGAAGTTGTCCAAATATGCTCCCTCTTTGGTTTCTAACCAAATAGATGAAATGAGTCATTTTGTCACCGGTGTGTCCGATGCTATTGAAGAAGAGTGCCGAGTGGCAATGCTCTAAGACAACATGGATATCTCTAGGTTGATGGTACATGCTCAACAAGTGGAAGAGTCAAGGCTTAAGAAGAGGAATAGAGAGGTGAAGAGGCCAAGGGCCGATGAGGGAAATGCATCTAAGGGTAAGTTTGAAGGTCAAAGTGAACCAAGGTTTAAGAAAAGGTTTCCCAACCAAAGTCCTTCCAAAGCTCCTAGGCCCAAAAAGGTAAGGTTTCTACCCCTAGACCAGAAGGAGGAAGAGGTGGTAGTTCTTATGTTGAAAAACCTAATTGTGAAAAGTGTGGCAAGAAGCATCAAGGCAAGTGCCTAGTTGACACGGACAATTGCTTTAGTTGTGGGAAGAGTGGTCATATGAGGAGAGATGGCCCTATGTTGATGTAACATCCGACAATTTAAAATGAATATGAAGAAGCTTGAAATTGGAAGTAGTCATTTTTTTGGAAAGAAATTCAGAATCTGGAAATTCGGCCAAGTGTGGAAATCAGTGAGTTTTTGGCCAACTTTGAGCAGTCATAACTCCTAGCTCAGGATGATCCAGGAGTATTTCCAGTTATGTTTGGAAATCCCTTGGAACGATCTTTCCAACGCCACTGAGTTTGCTCAATTCCGAGTTCGTATGAGCGAGTTATGCTCGTTGAAAGTTGGGCAG